AGTGGCTCAATGTGTGTTTGTGCCCATTTTGCATTAGGCCATGGTGCATTAATCTGTCCATTGCCTACCACTGCACAATGGAAACACAAATACATTGTAAGTCACACTTGTGAATCCACACATTGTGATGCTGCCCAGTTCTATTTGTTGCATGTATAAATTCAGTTAATCCTGCACGGAGTTTCAGCCTCAATGTTTATTCTCTCACAATTAATGTTGGAATTATTTCAAGTACCTTCAACCTTTCACAATTCATCCAACAAGATTTCTTTGCTCAGGAGCAGGAGAAAAACACCTCCAAATAGCTGGTTATTGCAGTACAAAAATTTATTTCAAAATCATTTGCATCATATTGAAAACGTGAGCAATAAATAAGATGTCACTGCAAAAAACAAGTGATCCTTCATTTGGAAAGAGCGATCATAAAAACATTAGTATAAGATTTTTTTTGAAAAGGAAGAAAAGAAGACAATTCTTCAACAAACTTGGCTCTGCTCAAAACACATAACACATACATAAATAAATATTTGTGAGATGGTTTGCATTGGTAGGAAATGCAGGCCAAAATGATGATGCTTGGTATTATACTTTGAACGTATGGAAATGAAACAAAGAATATATGTGAATTTTACCATGAACCTTGAACCTCAACCCGAGTCAGACCATTGGTCCATCCAGCTCAATGTTGCTTGCTTTGATCAGCAATTACTCTTTAGGAGGGTTGAATGAAAAGTAATGCCTCCACCTTCGTTACTTGGGTTTAGATGGGAATATTTTAATAAATCAAACACAGAAATAATCCTTAGAATGTGCCCTTTAACTACCACTATTCACTTTTCCACATAATCACCAGACAATGGGATACATTTCTGCCAACGATTAACAAGTTTTCTGAAGCCGTCACAGAAGATATCGACACTCTGTTTCCACAGCCCATTGTGCACAGATCTTCCAATAGCCAAGCAAAGCAATAATATGACCGACACATTCTTGTGAAATGCCGATTATGCTTGACATTTTTCTCTGAGTGATACGACAATCATCCTGAATCAATCTGTCAACCTTTTGCTTGTGCAACTCAGTGGTTGCTGTCACAGGACGTCCAACTCTTTGTTTGTCATGCAAGTCAGATGGTCCCACCTCAACTTCTTTAAACTTACTCGCCCAACAATGCACAGTATTCACATGAACACAATCACCATAAACAGCTTGCATTCTCTGATGAATCCCCTTTGGGGTGACACCTTCTGCTGTCAAGAATTCAATGACTGCACATTGTTTAAGTCGCATTGATCGACCGTCTGTGCAGGGTTCCATACTTCACACTTTAACAACACAACTGTTCAATGCTAAGGCTTCCTGCTACAATGGAACTGTAGAGGAGAGTCTACTGAACAAGCCAATACCTGCTGCATACCACTACTGGCATCTGTCGAGGAGTTACGAAGGTGGAGGCATTACTTTTCATTCAACCTTCGTAAATTAGGTGTCTTTGGGAGCCTTTGTAGGAGCTTTCAGGAGTCACCAACCACTATTGGGTGAAAGCATTTCTTTGAGAGGGGACCTCTTCAAATATACCTTTACTTGAAAATACAAAGATAAAATGGGGCCTTTTTCCAGAAGTCTACTGCCACTTCACACGGAGGAGCCATCACAGATAGCAACAGCCATTTTTCTGTGATCTCTCCTTCTCTATGAATTTACCTAATTCTCCTCTACAATATTTTTAGAAATTGAGAACATCTCTCCTGCCACTTGCCGGACTAACTAACTAACATAGACAAAAGTGAGGAACGATGGGAGTTAAAAGTCCCATAATTGCTCGTTCCTGCATTTAAGGATCTAGTTATAGTTAACTCATTGCTTTTTGTGAAAAGAGATTCTCTATTTCAGTGGTTCTCAACCTGTGGGTTCCCAGGTGTTTTGGCCTACAACTCCCAGAAATCCCACCCAGTTTACCAGCTGTTAGGATTTCTGGAAATTGAAGGCCAAAACATGTGGGAACCCACAGGTTGAGAACCACTGAAATAGAGAATCTCTTTGGCTTCAAACTACAAGAAAGGAGATTCCATCTGAACATTAGGAAGAACTTCCTGACTGTGAGAGCTGTTCAGCAGTGGAACTCTCTGCCCTGGCGTGTGGTGGAGGCTCCTTCTTTTGAGGCTTTTAAACAGACTCTAGATGGCTATCTGTTGGGGGTGCCTTGAATGCAATTTCCCTGCTACTTGGCAGTGGGTTGAACTGGATGCCCCATGAGGTCTCTTCCAACTCTATAATTCTATGATTCTATGTATGCATATGTTTTTGGAATATTTGCATACAAATCATGAGATATCTTGGAATCCAAATTATCTTCTAAACACAACATTCATTTCTGTTTCATATACAACTTACACACATAACCGGAAGGTAATTTTATACACAATTAAAAATAATAATTTTGAAGGTGAGACAGTTAGTGTACCTTCATAAAAGTAGAAGTGTCACTTTAGATTTTGAAATATTTTTATTTCTGGATAAGGGATACTCAACCTAAATACTGAATTATAGAATTATAGAGTTGATAAGCATCCCATAGGTGGAAATTGGTGGATATATATCCCATAACAACAGATTAATTTTTAACATTCTCTTCCATTTTCAAATAACTGTCTTGTGCAGCTCAGGCCTTTGTTCCATCTAGTCCAGTGTTTTCTGATTTCAGAGATAAAAGTTCTCTGAAGACTTTGATTTAATCAGCCTTTATTCCTATCTGAAAGTCTCAGATTATGGTATGAACAAAAAACAACAACTACAAAACCCAGTATATTGGGCAGGGCCAAGCTGAGATCCTGCATTGCAGATGTGTATCTATGTATCAACTTTTGACCTGACTCTCCAAACTACCCTACGAGCCACTAGTCACACCAAGTGATGGGGGTCTGTTCCGCAGGAGGACAGGGCGCAACAGGAGGATATTTCCAGCCCCTTCCTATCAGCAAGTGAGGAATTGTGACAAGGGTCCCATTTGTGATTGTCGTACAGCAGATTGCTGGTGGGAGGGGGCTGGAAACATCATCCTAAAGCAGCCTGAACATTGGCAGAACTAACTCAATATAAGATATAAGGTAGGTTTTTTTTTTTGGAGGAGAAGATTAACATGAAAACTGTACATGCTCATGTTTAAGTCTAGAAATTTTATTCAAAAATAGAACTCCCAAAGACTTGATTGATTTCTCCATGTGTCATTGTAAGTTCTGTTCCTTGACAGACTGACACCCCCCTCCCCTTATTTATAAAAGGTATTCCCTTGATATTAAATCTAGTCAAGTCTGACTCTGGGAGGTGGTACTCATCTCCATTTCTAAGCTGAAGAGCCAACGTTGTCCAAGGCCATGTGGCCAGCATGATTGCATGAAGCACCATTACCTTCCCGCCGAAGTTGCAAGTTGATTTAAACAGCCTTTATTCCTATCTGAAAGTCTCAGATTATGGTATGAACAAAAAACAACAACTACAAAACCCAGTGTATTGGGCAGGGCCAAACTGAGATCCTGCATTGCAGATGTGTATCTATTGATTTACTCACATTTGCATGTTTTTGAACTGCTAGGTTGGCAGAAGCTGGGGCTAACAATGGAAGTTCACCTTAACCCATGGATTCAAATCACCATGCCCCCTATCTATAGATCATATCAAATTACATGATTTTGGCTCCCAAACCTGCCCTTGACTTATACATGAGGTTGACTTAAACATGAGTATATATGGTACTAAATTATGGGTTTCTAAGTCTATCTCATGCTGAACTGGCATCATGGGATGCCAGCTGTAGTACACAAACCAGGACTGCCATCTGAGTAGGAAAAGAAAAAGTAGCTGACCTGCTGCATTGCTTTTAACAAGAGCAGAAACCACTTGTTCATGTCTGAACATCAAGTTGTTAGAAGGCAGCCAAGAGAAATGGACAATACCTCACTACCTCTGAGGATGCTTGCCATAGATGCAGGTGAAACATCAGGAGAGAATGCCTCTAGACCATGGCCATATAGCCCGAAAAAACCTACAACAACCCAGAAATCGACAATCCATATCACAAACATGAAATGATTCTAGTGCGGACAGTGTTCTTGTTGAGACAGTGGTTGAAAAGAGCTTTGAATTAAGACAATGCTCAAAGCACACACACACACACACAAATTTACTCACCAACCAAGCCAGAGCCATGTCACATGTTGTTACTTAAAATATGCATGTCAACTGGCTGATTAAAACCCAAATGCATGGTCTTGACTGAGCACAAAGTGCCAAATTTTGTGGTTACTTCAATGTCTAATTGAACAATCATTGGTTTAAGCTTTTAAAAAGGTAACAAAGCCAACAAGAAGAAACATGTTTTCCTTGTAGTGGGCAGTTTGACTGTAGTAGGGAAAAAATTGAAATAAATTTCTCAAAAGATGACATTGATGATGGTAATGATGATGACAACGACAATGATGTGTACGTGCCTCAACCATCTAGATTTTAAGACAGGCATCTCAACCATTGTTTCCCCTTCTCCTCGAGTCAACAGGTTCTGTGTCTGGTAATGTGAGGTAACTTTTAAGTGGTTCAATCCATCTCCATTTTCTTGAAACCATATGTAGCCAGCCATGTTCTTAAACTAATCACAATTCGTTCCTGTGGTTCTGTCTTCCCATTGAGTTTTCTTCTCCTCTTGATTGTGTTCAAGGCAATATTTTCCAAAATATTCTTTCAAATGACCTCCCAACAGCATTGCTCCTTCTATTTTTGTTGATATTTTCTTCTTTGGGTTATTGTAGGTTTTTCGGGCTATATGGCCATGTTCTAGAAGCATTCTGTCCTGACGTTTCACCTGCATCTATGGCAAGCATCCTCAGAGGTGGATGCTTGCCATAAAACATAGCCATATAGCCTGAAAAACCTACAACAACCCAGTGATTCTGGCCATGAAAGCCTTCGACAATATGTTTTCTTCTTTCTTTCACTCTTTTTCACATTTCACAGTACAATCTGATACAACGTTATTCCAGAAGTAAGTCCCATTGGGTTCAGAGGGATCCCCCGCAAGGTGTGCAACACTTGCCTTTATAGACTGTTTTCTTGAATCCTGACACAAGTACTGCCTATCTCTATGGATTGCTAAATTCACATGCCATCAGGGAAGCGTGCTATTCCGAAGGGATTTTCAACCACAGTTCTTAAAAAACAACAACCCAGGGTAGACAACTTCTTTTTGCTTTTTCTAAAAAATATTGAAAATAAGGCAAAAATGTTTAGCTCTGCCAAAATAAAAATCCCAAATACCTCCTTGCATGTTGATTGTGGTTATTTCAAGCTGACAGAAGAAAAGTATCAATACAAAATAATATGGTGGGTGGATTTGAGCGTTGATCAAGTATCTTCATACAAAAGGTTGTAAGCAAAGAATTTCAGTTTTTGAGGGAGCCCAACAGAGAAAGGACCCTCCTTGCATTTTCAAAAGGCACGTGTCAATGACAGATGTGTATGCTTATATGAGTTTATATATATGTAGGTAGGTATAGAGAATATAGAAAAATAGTTCAATATTCTACATTATAAGAGAGTTCAGAGCTGAGTAGCAGTCCAAAGGACATCTTTTTTGGAAAAAGTAAACAACAGTGACTAGTTTATGCCATCATCTTCCTTTATGATCTCTCCCACTTTTCCTCCTTTCTTATGGCTATGACTGACTATTACTTTGTGTCACACAGAAATATATTTTTAGAAAAGACGGGTCTTGTTCAAATCCTCTCCATGATGGTAAATGCAGGTCTTGTTCAAATCTTCTCCATGATGGTAAATGCAGGCTGGCACCAAGACTGCCAACAGGAGATAATGTTACAGTTGCTCATAATACAGGATGAGAACTGGTAGGCCTTGTGTGGCTACTCCAGAGGAAAGATCAAGAATGGAATAAGGTCCTTTGAGGTAATCTTGGAATCCAGGGGGTGCCTCTATGCCTGCAAGCTGGTTTTTATGTGCATCTCTTCTATTGTGTTTTTCTTCAGAGAAGGTGTTCAGAAGTTGGAGAAGGTGGGACCACTTCCTTTCTAACTGGCCCAAGGCAAGGGACATCTTGCAGAGGGAGTCTCATGAAGGCAGGAAGTCAGAAGATTGGAATGGTTTTTCCCATGTCTATCAAACCTTGGTAGAGAAATGGAAGCCAATAAAATGGTGTTGATCAATGTTACTTGTGGACACCAACCAACTGTTGGTTGAGGCTCTCTTAGTTGAGGTGGGAGAGACAATCCTCCTGTATTCTTTTTACAAATGTATCCATCATCCCTGCAGCTGGCAATTTCCGTTCTTCCTACAACTGGGGTCATCTGCCCTTGAAGAAACGTATTTTGTCAATTGAGGCAAGAGTCAATGTGATGTTAGATTCAAAATCGCCATCATGGACGCCTGTCTGCCGGAAAGCCCCAGCGGACGGGTTGTTCTCCCAATAGTGGTGCCAGTTCCCTTTGCTATCTGCCCCAAAGCCATATAGATCCACCTGTATTGGCAGCAGGGAGGGGAAAATACAAAAAGAGACAAGAAGTCAGTAAAAATTTGGCTCTTGTATTACAGTAGAGTCTTGCTTATCCAACCTTCGTTCATCCAACATTGTGTATTTTCCAACACAGTCTGCCTCCTGCCTGGATCCACAGCTGTTTCAATACATTGTGATGTTTTGGTGCTAAATTAGTAAATACAGTAATTACTACATAACGTTACCGTGTATTAAACTGCTTTTCCTGTCACTGTGTGTAAAATATGATGTTTTGGTGCTTAATTTGTAAACTCACAATGTGATTTGACGTTTAATAGTCTTTTCCTTAATCCCTCCTTATTATCCAACATTTTAACTTGTCTAACTTTCTGATAACCCGTTTATGTTGAATAAGTGAGACTCTACTGTAATTCTATTATCTTCATATGCATCACACACTGAAGCATTGATAACAAAAGAATGCTCCTTTGTCTCCATTTTACACTGGAGGACATTACTGCCCCAAATTACATAGTTTCTCAGTGTTAAAGAAGCTCTAACTTGTAGGGAACTAACCTAAGTTTTGAATGAGGGGCTGGGGAAGCTACACTGTGGTTGTACAGGAATTGGACTGCCAAGACAAAGGGATGTTACCAGCCAAGCCTTGGGATCGGAGACAAGTAAGCTTAACTTGTTTATGCAGCAAGTTGTGTTCAAAGGAAATGTACATCTAAAATATCACCACAGCTTCCTGGTTATTTTGACAAGAGGATAATAATGTAATTGAGGCCCTCAAAGGACATGTTTGATCTCTCTATATACTTATTGTTGAGCTACAAAGGAAGATTGGCTTGGCTCAAAGATAACAAGATGCCATGTTTTTCCTATTACACAGATATAGGGACAAGAGTGGAAACCATGACTTGAGAGTTGGACTAGGGCTCTCGGGGTTCAGGGTTCAAATGCCTGCTCTGACATGGAAATGTACTGTGTGACTGTGGTGACAGCAATGTCAAAACAACTCTGAATAAACCTTGCCAACGAACTCTGTGTTAAAGTTGGCCTGTAGGCATATAACAGCAATGATAAATATGCATGGACCATTTTCTATAAAAAAATTATTATATGTGAATTTTGCACTGACTAAGTCCTAGATTGTGACTAGTCTTTGAAAATTGTGCGGTTTTCCAAGACTTTTCTACAGTGAGAAGAAAATTGCTAAAATTGCACATGCTGTCAATTATTAGAACAATCAGAAATAATTTAGGAACTATATTTATTTAGGAATTAGAGATGACGCAATGCTGATAGACCTACACAGAAAAGCCGAATGGAAGAATTGGTTTGATATTGTAAATGACCTAATCTAATTGCCTCTTGATAAAATTAGAAAATCTTTAACATGAGGTCCTTGAAGACCTTTAATAAAAGGATAGCCTATTCAATCTCTTGGTTCATTATCAGATGGCTCTTAATGTTCAATTTTACTTTTTTACTTTCTGTACTGAAAATGACCCTCTTATACATTAAGCTCATTGGATTTTCTCATTTCTGCTGAGCTGGCAAAGTCTTTGCCCTCTTAAGAGTGATAACAATGCATCAAGGGACTGAAGAGTTTTATCATGTCCTTCCTCCATTACTTCTCCTCCAGACCAAAAATATTTATTTCAACTTTTGTTTATAAGACTTGTTTTCCTTTGAACATTTTGCCTGACCTCCTCTGAGCCCCCTCTAGTTTGTTTGCATCCTTCTTCAAATGAGCTGTCCAGACCTGCATCTTGAATTGATTGAATATTGATATTTGGTCATTATTGCAAACTATGCTTAGTTAGAATATAAAAGTGAAGGTTTTTAGGCTGCTTCTCTAATGCATAGGAGAGGCAAGAGATTTTGTATCTGATGTCAGTGGAGTGGTGAATTTGCTTTTTGCAGCCCCTCATTCAGGTTTTTGCATTATCTTTAATGGAGCTAACCAAGAGCCCATCTACATGGGCACCTAAATCCAGGGTTCTGTCTTATTTTGGACTAACCCTGGATTAACTGATGTAATAATAATAAATAAAACAATAAACTTTATTTATAACCCACCCCATCACCCAGAAGGGACTTAGGGTGGCTCACAATGGTGCCACACAGAAGAATAAAATTATACAGCACCAGAACAATACATAAACTAACTAAATACAAACAATAGTCAACATCAAATAATAAAATTAAGAGTTTGACATTTCTAAAATACAAGAAGACTGTGGCTCATTGGGGTTCTTAAATCGTGAGCTAAAGTGCTAAGCAACAATGGTTGACGCCATCACATACAACCATAGTACACTACTCCAAGTCAAAGGCCTGTTTAAATAGCCATGTTTTCAGGCTAGACTAGAAGGTTTGGAGAGTTGGGGCTAATGTAATCTCTCCAGGGAGAGCATTCCAGAGCAAGGGAGCCACCACTGAGAAGGTCCTCTCTCTCGTCCCCACCAATCGCATCTGTTATGGTGGTGGGACTGAAAGAAGGGCCTCCCTAGCAGATCTCATGGCTCGCACCAGTTCATAGAAGGAGATGTGGTCTTGAAGACAGGTTGGATCTGAAGCATACAGGGCTTTATAGTTGATAACCTATAGTCTACACACTCCACTCTTGAACCACAGGACCAGACTATCCAGCCGGGCTGCATGTTCAGGTACACTTTCTGGCTCAATTCAGGGCTTTGGACCCATGTAGACAGGCCCCGAGATTCTGGACTTTAACTACAAAAAAAGGTTTAGTATTTTGGATAACTCCTTTAAATAGTTGCCCCTGCATCCAAGTTTCATACAACACAAAAGAGGAAACCACAATCTTTGCAAAACAGCAAACCATGGTTTCCTCCTAGAATAGAGGTGAGCCATCTGTGGACTCGTGTGTTCCTTACTAAGTTTTTCAGTTCTGAATGCTTCATTTTGTTACATATTTTAAAAGATTAAATCAGCAGTAGAACTCTATATATTGGTTTGGAAAGAGTGCATCCTGCTATGGATCTTGGGGTAAACTGGTCCCTACATCCTTAGGGCATGCCCACCCCTTGCCCAGCCTAAGCCTTGGCTTTGCACATACCTCATCACAGAGATGGAGAGCAAATATAACAGACAGGAAGCCCGTTGAAGGGTATCGCCCGTGATGTTGCAGCCAGTTGTCATAAACATATTTGATGAAGACAGGATGATAAACCAGGATCTGCATGAAATGAAGCAACACAGCAATTTATTTCTTGGAATGCAGATCTGAAGACTTCCCTGACTTACGGTTCCAACTTTGTCCTCAGACAGATAGTACAGCTTGTTTACTTTTGGTTGCAAAGGGCCTAACTGATAAGAGTTCTCCAAGCTCATGCAACAATCCTCTTTGAGAGACCCAGAACCTTCAGGAGGAGAAATGCCAGAGCTTTTCAAAGGTTGAAAGTGAGCAGCAAATGCTACACAAGATGTACTTATGGAATGCTGAGTGAGAACAGAACTGCATGCCTCCCTCATCCTGACCTATCCTCATAAAAGCAAGGACAGAGAAGAACATCAGGCATTAACAGCATAAATCAAATGTGCTACATATCATGGGTACAGTTCTCATTTTTACCAATAGATGGAGGCACAGACACATTTTAGATTCTTAAAGTGACTGACTAGCAACTTCTAAAGAAGTTAATCCCTTACAGCAGTGGTTCTTAACCTGGGGTGCCCAGATGTTTTTGGTCTTCAACTCCCAGAAATCCTAACAGCTGGTAAACTGGCTGGGATTTCTGGAAGTTGTAGGCCAAAACACCTAGGGATCCACAAGTTGAGAACCACTGCCATACAGCTTTAAAAAAGGAAGAAGGGAGGGAAGAACAAAAACAAGGAACATGGTAGCACTTTTAAGATTACGATTGATCCTCCACAATTCCTGGGATTAGGGGCACAGGGATCTCCCTAAAGTAGAAAAATCATGAATAAAAACCACTTTTCAATCTGAGAACATCTCCCCATTAATCTCTGGATACTCCAGTATGTCTCTATGGTAGAAGCGCACAACCTGTGGCACTCCAGCTGTTTTGGCCTTTGGTTACCAAAATTCCTGACCACTGCAAAAGCTGGCCAGGGATTCTGGGAATTGGAGTCCCAAACATCTGGTGGATCGCAGGTTGTGCACCACTGCTCCATGGCCAACTTCCACCAGAACTTGAACACAGAGTTCTACAGAAGGACCTAGAGATTCCCACGGAGATGTTCTTTCCAGAAATCTCTACGTTCTCTAGCACAACTCTATGGCCAACTTCCACAAGTTGACCACAGAGTTGTGCAAGATGACCTAAATATTCCTAAATATTAATCAAATCCACAAAGGCTAAACCTTACAATATGGAGAATTGACAATGACTGGTTTTCCCACATCTCCTGAAAATGATGCAACTGAGCTTTCCAGAGGGTAGGGGGAATTCCCCCTTGAAAGCTCCATGTGTCATTTAGTGGCACTATGGAGCATGTAAGAGTCCCCAGGCTTGATAAGGATCCCGTTTCTATACTTTTAAAGGCAAAAAGGAGGTGAGGGAGGACAGGGGTCAGTAGCCATAGCCTCCTTGTGCTGGTTTGGCAAAGGAGGGAATGTAGCCAAACGCTTGCCAAAAGGGAGAGATTTTGACCTTGTGTGTGGGCAGAAAATGTGCAGAGAACCAGGGCTTTAGGGTCCTTCCACACAGCCCTATAACCTAGAATATCAAGGCAGAAAATCCCATGGCATCTGCTTTGAACTGGATTACATATATTCCAGTTCAAAGCAGATATTGTAGGATTTTCTGCCTTGATATTCTGGATTATAGGGCTGTGTGGAAGGGCTCTTAAACTCCAGTTTCCTGCACCTTTTCTGCTGTGTAGAAGGGCCCTCAAATGGCTTTTTGATCTTCATGAAAGTGGGATCAATGTTGTGCCACTGCTGAGAAGCAATGGAATATGAGATTTTGTTTGCATAGGAGGTGCAGATTACAGAATTTTGGGGAAACAGATCCAATTAGACATTTATTCCAGACTTTAAAGAAGCTATAGGAGGCACTGACAATATTTGCGAGATATAGCTTGACACCCTGTATAGCTCCTTTAAATTCTGGAAAAAAACTCAAATTTGATTCATTATATCACTGATATGGATATACCATTGACTATCCCAGGAAGCTGGCGTGAGGATCCTCAAACAGATAGATGTGGGCTCCTTCTTGAAAATGACATCTGTTGAATGCATACTTTTCAATGTTTTATAGATCAAAACAAGATCTATGGGCAAGGAGCATCAGAGTTTGGTTCAGCTGGCCAAAAGTATTAATAAGGAAGAACATTCAACCAAGAAGAATTCACAGTAGTTTTATTTGGCCTCAGTCTACTGCAAAGAGCAAGACTCTTGGTGCATCTACACAGCAGAATTGATGTTGTATGACACCACTTTGACAGCCATGGCTCAATGCTATGGGATATAGGAGTTGTAGTTTGGCGAGGTACCACCATTCTTTGGAAGAGAAGAGTAAAGATCTTGTAAATCTACAGCTCCCATGATTCCATAACATTGAGCTATGGCAGTTAAAAGTGGTGTCAAACTGCATTATTTCTAATGTGTAGATGCACCAAGAGTCTTGCTCTTTGCAGTAGACTGAGGCCAAATAAAACTACTGTGAACTCTTCTTGGTTGAATATTCTTCCTTATTAATACTTTTGGCCAATAGATGTTTTGGTGGAAACCCTTTTCTTGCAATTTGTGTTGAAGGCTGGATCTACCCTGCCATATAATGCAATATTCTCTCTCTCTCTCTCTCTCTCTGTGTGTGTGTGTGTGTGTGTGTCTGTGTGAATTGATGGATTAAAATGACAAGAAAACAGATTCTACCTAAAGATCAAGAAGACACATCAAGAGCTACTTGGTAAAGGATTTGACTCTACATTCCAACATTTCAGATTAAAACAAAGATGTATGTATCCAAGTGGTCAAGATGACCAATGTTGTTAAAGAGGAAGGACATGAAAGTTAGCAGTTTGCTTTTGCCTGGGCCTATTGGGAAAGGCAAGAGTCTACCACATCCTCTCCTTTCCCTTTCTCCACACCACCCCATTGAGTGGGATTTTCACAGGAAAGAGGAGAAAAGAAGAGTACAAGCAGAAGATATCTCATAAAATCCCATAAATATCCTCTAAAAGTGCGATCCCATGCAAAAATTACAACAGAGAGTCAGGTGATATAAAAATATGGTTTTTAATCCTTGCTTTGAGGTACTAATCTCTCACAGGTACCCAGCTGTGTTTGAAAGAAAAACAGAAGGTATAAAATTAATCGTTGTGCCTGGAACAGGAAGGAAGGAAGGGGAGGGAATATGTGAGCACCAGAGTAAGTAAATAATGTTCCAAAGTGTTTTGGACTCGTAATAGATAAAAACAACAACTCACCTTGTTTCTGTTGGCTTTGATTTTACGGGGAACTGGAATGTATGTGCTGTTAAAGGAGAACAGAAAGGAATTAGTAAATGTCTAATACTTTCCGAGTAGCACCAAACCTACATAGGAAGAAATCCTGAAATGCTTGGGACCACGAAGTTTTTTGATTTCAGATTTTGCACATACATGGTGAATGAGGAATGGTGGGAAAGGGGGCTTGACACAGGTATGCAGCAAAATGTTTTGGGTTTTGGAGTATTTTGGTTTTCCAGATAAGGAAGACGTAATCTTTAGTAGCACCAACTGTCTTTGTTTGCATAATCACTGTCTTCTTATATTATTGTTTGGGAACATGGACTGAAATTCTTATCAGGTATTTTGTACTTAACTATAACAGTGCTAAAATGATCAAGGGTCTGGAGAACAAGCCCTATGAGGAGCGGCTTAAGGAACTGGGCATGTTTAGCCTGAAGAAGAGAAGGCTGAGAGGAGATATGATAGCCATGTATAAATATGTGAGAGGAAGCCACAGGGAGGAGGGAGGAAGCTTGTTTTCTGCTTCTCTGGAGACTAGGATGCGGAACAATGGCTTCAAACTACAAGAGAGGAGATTCCATCTGAACACAAGGAAGAACTTCCTGACTGTGAGAGCCGTTCAGCAGTGGAACTCTCTGCCCCGGAGTGTGGTGGAAGCTTTTTGGAAGCTTTTAAACAGAGGCTGGATGGCCATCTGTCAGGGGTGATTTGAATGCAATATTCCTGCTTCTTGGCAGGGGTGGACTGGATGGCCCATGAGGTCTCTTCCAACTCTTTGATTCTAGGCGCTCTCTGCAGTCATGCCGGCCACATGACCTTGGAGGTGTCTACGGACAACGCCGGCTCTTCGGCTTAGAAATGGAGATGAGCACCACACCCCAGAGTCAGACATGACTGGACTTAATGTCAGGGGACTACCTTTACCTTTACCTTATATACCTTCAGCCCCATCTACACTGCCATATAATCCAATTTGGTACTGCACTATATTGTCAGTGTAGACTCATATAGTGCAGTTCAATGAGTCTACGCTGACCATATACTGTAGTTTCAAACTTCATTATATGGCAGTGTAGATGGGGCCTCAGACTGTATCCTCACAACAAAAATATATTGGATTCTGGGTTTTGTAGTTTGTGAGATATTTACCCTTCTCTGGTGCTATGGCAAACTACAAATCCCAGGATTCCACAGGATGGAGCTATAGCAGCTAAAGTGGTGTCAAACCGCTATAATACTGGAATGCAAGCAGTGATTGTGAATACGGAACGTTTACCTAGATTCACTCATACATAACCGACCATAACTAGATGTACTCATGCATAACTGATCAAAGATCAGTTTCACTTCCTTGACACAGAGGTGTCCCTGACATTCTGAAGCTAAAATTGATTTCTCTGCCAAGGGAGACGTAATCCCTTCTGAAGCTCTGTCAGAGGCGTTTGGGAAAATCAGTCCTTTCTCAACTCCCAAAGAAAACCCTCAAACACGAAGCCTTTGATTATCCCAGCCAGAAACGTTGCTTTGATTTTCTTACACCTTAAGCTGCCTTAATTTATTTAGCCTTTACTCCTACTCATTACGTGCATTCGTTCACATTGCTCTTCTTTCCTGATGCTTTTGTTGGAAGAACAAATGAAGGAACCCTGACCTCTCCTTTCCTACTCTCAAAATGGGAAACAACACGACAAGGCCAGTTGGACAATGTGCAAAGCAAGCACACCAATACTGAGTCACATAGATTCTTATTGGTTGGTTAAATATCAAATATCTTAGCTTCTGATAAGCCATTATTTTCACTGGGAGCAGAACCAGGATATCAGTCATTTATCAGATCCAATTACTGTTATCATTACCATTTTGGGTCTTGTGCCATCTGTTGATTTATGGTGTCTCAATGCATTTCCATAGGGCTTTCTTAGGCAAAGTATACCCAGAGGTGGTTTGCTAGTTTCTTCTCTGCTACATGCATTTCTGTTGGTTGTGGAGGTGTGGAGTTCACAGTAGTTCAGCTGAGCTATGAAAATTATTTATTCAAATATATCCTTAGAAATTGCCTATCCCACATGCGCAGGACTAAGCTTGTGCACAGATCTGTTTCCAAAAATGGTCTTTAGGGTTTAAGGCTGGATCAGCTGGTTTGGACACCTGTAACGGCAAGGGCTCCACCGGCATTTTTTCTCGGCAGCCACAGAACAGCGGCTATCGAAAACCGGGCTGCTTTTGGTTTCTTTCGGTTACATGTGGAATGGAGGGAGAGAGGGAGCCACTAGAAGAGAAAGGATCCCAGGAAGTGGGGTTTCTTAAACCCTCGCCTTAAACCAGTTGTTCCCAACCTGTGTGTCCCCAGGTGTTTTGGCCTACAACTCTCAGAAATCCCAGCCAGTTTACCAGCTGTTAGGATTTCTGGGAGTTGAAGGCCAAAAACATCTGGGGACCCCAGGTTGAGAACCACTGCCTTAAACCCAGGTCTCCTCTAAAGACAGAAGGGAAAGGATCCCATAAAAAGTGGTATCTTAACTCTAATGCTTTTAATCCAGGTCTTAATGAAGGAATCCCCAAATCCCCATCCCATGTCCGTGCCAGTACAAATTTGTCCTTCTGATGCACTTTATCTCACCCCTCAGTGAAGATTAGCCCCATTGTTTTTCCCACCTGAGCGTCCCACAAGATTCACCACTCTATTTATCTATCTCATCCAGGAGTTTTTATAATTTTATCTTTTGCATTTGGCCCAGCTCACTGTGTTTAATTCTTTTATTACTTTATATTTTGTATCATTATGTTATTGTCATTATTTTATTGTATTATTTTGTTATTGTATTGTCGAAGGCTTTCATGGCTGGAATCACTAGGTTCTTGTGGGTTTTTTCGGGCTATTTGGCCATGTTCTAGAGGCATTTTTCCTGACGTTTCGCCTGCATCTATGGCAAGCATCCTCAGAGGTAGTGAGGTCTGTTGGAAATAGGAAAATGGGTTTATATATCTGTGGAATGACTGGGGTGGGGCAGAGAGCTCTTCTCTGCTGAAGCTAGGTGTGAATGTTTCAGCTGACCATCTTCATTAGCATGTGAAGGCCTGGCTGAACCTGGGAAAATGTTTTGTTGAGAGGTGTTAAGATGTGCCTGGTTGTTTCCTCTCTGCTGTTTTGCTGCTGTAATTTCAGAGGTTTCCAATACTGGTAGCCAGATTTTGCCCACCCTCATGGTCTCCTTCCTTCCGCTTATTGTTTAGCATTTTATTTGATGTTACTGTCTGGGCTTGGCCTCATGTTGGCCACCCTGAGTCCCTTCGGGGAGATGGTGGTGGGGTATAAATAAAGTTTATTATTATGATTATATATTATTTATTTATTTAGAACTTTTGTATCCCGTTCTTCTCTACCTCTGTGGAGGGATTCGGAACAGATAACAGCAAAAATTCAATGCTTTACAATAAATAACATTTTAAAACAACATACATAATACAATAGGTTAAAAATACATAGTAAGTTAAAATACATATAAAACTATTCGCCAAGTTAAAAACATCACCCAACTCAGTCCGTACATTGTGGTCCAATAACTCTTAGTCTTTACTGGTCTCACCCATCACTCTGCAAATGCCTGATTCCAGAGCCAGGATTTCAATTGCTTCCTGAAGGTCAGGAGGGAGGGGGCAGACCTAACCTCATTCGAGAGAGAGTTCCATAGCCAGGGAGCCACCACATAGAGGGCCTTGTTTCTTGTTCCCACCAAGCGTGACTGCGAAAGTGGCGGGACTGAGAGCAGGGCCTCTCCGGAAGATCTTAACACCCTTGATAGGGGAGAATATAAAGACAAACAATCCCAGAAAGAGAGTTATCTTAATTCTGGTGCTTTTAATCCAGTTCTTAATGAAGGATATAAAGACAAACGATGTCTAAAATGATGGGAAGGGAAGCCTGGGAAGTCCCCTCCTTTGCTCTCAATGAGCCGGATTAAAAACAAATATTTCTGCTTCCTGGATCGAAAATGAATTTCTGTCTTCTTGAATTTGGGAGGCTCTTGAAAAACCAATTGGGCCCCCATCGAAATCTGGGACATCAAAATGGATTGTGGTTTACCCAAATTGCACAACTCTATGCAGGACTTTGTCTAAATCCTTCTCCACATAAATCTTCTGGTAGAACTATGGCAAGGGTCTGTCCAGTCAAAGACTCCTCCATTTGCCTCTTTCTTTGTTGCTGCTGCTGCTGTTTTGGGAAAGAAGCCTTTGTGGGAGTTCACATGGCCCCTTGAAGAGAAAACCGCTCTCTCTGTCTACTGTAGTTACACCAACAATCTGTAACCTTTTGCTGCTAGTTGTTGATTTCTCTTCTCAAGCCAAAGAACTATAACTTCTACATCTGATGGTTTCAAGGGGCGTAAAGAAAAACGAAATGCAAAGATTAAGAATGGGTGACGCCTGGCTTGAGAGCAGTACGTGTGAAAAAGATCTTGGAGTCCTCGTGGACAACAAGTTAAACATGAGCCAACAATGTCATGTGGCGGCAAAAAAAGCCAATGGGATTTTGGCCTGCATCAAGAGGAGCATAGTGTCTAGATCTAGGGAAGTAATGCTACCCCTCTATTCTGCTTTGGTTAGACCACACCTGGAATATTGTGTCCAATTCTGGGCACCACAATTCAAGAGAGATATTGACAAGCTGGAATGTGTCCAGAGGAGGGTGACTAAAATGATAAAGGGTCTTTATACTGTGTTGGTCAAAGACCGTAATAAGTCATTGATTGATTGATTGATAAAGGATCTGGAGAACAAGCCCTATGAGGAGCGGCTTAAGGAGATGACCATGTTTAGCCTGAAGAAGAGAAGGCTGAGAGGGGATATGATAGCCATGTATAAATATGTGAGAGGAAGCCACAGGGAGGAGGGAGAAAGCTTGTTTTCTGCTTCTCTTGAGACTAGGACGCGGAACAATGGCTTCAAACTACAAGAGAGGAGATTCCATCTGAACATGAGGAAGAACTTCCTGACTGTGAGAGCCGTTCAGCAGTGGAATTCTCTGACCGGAGTGTGGTGGAGGCTCCTTCTTTGGAAGCTTTTAAACAGAGGCTGGATGGCCATCTGTCAGGGGTGATTTGAATGCAATATTCCTGCTTCTTGGCAGGGGGTTGGACTGGATGGCCCATGAGGTCTCTTCCAACTCTTTGATTCTATGATTCTATGAAGGAGATAACTTGGATTCCTCCTGCATGAGTCACTCATTTGATTCCCAAAATGAAACCAATAATGTTTCGGGAAGGCATGGCAAGTCTGTTATAAGGGTACAAACACTGCCAGACTTATCTCCAATTACAAAGCCTACTTGAATTTGAATTTTCCAGCATGCTTTCTATGCAATTTCACCAAGGACTATAGATGAATTCATGGGGCTGAGCCACTAAGTTACGCAAAGTCCAGGTCAAGGATATGATACTGGTGGGAGAGTCTCTAACCCCTCCTTTTACAAATATTTTGCAACAATGATATCTCATTTTCTTGGCACTCAGTACACAATATTTTATTGCCAAGGAATAACATACATTTTTTCATGCCTTCTTCCAAAAAGTAAACTTTTCATTCCAGTGCCATGGTTACCTGTTGGACGGGAATGGAGTGCACAAACACCCTACCCTGGAAAACATGCTTCAGCAGCACTCAGGACTATTTCCTTAGAGGAAAAGGATGTGAAAAAAAAGCACTTTTTCTGTCTCTGACCTGCTTATCTATCCTTCACAACCTGGATGAGTCATATTCTTAAAAGCTCCTAAATGTCTTTCACAACTTTCCTTCTTTTTCCATCTGATATTTACTCTCTTCTGTGATTCCCTGCTCCTTTCTTTTCATTTATTGAGTCTGTGAAACTACAGCAGATTGGAGAATTCTCAGCACTGTGTCTGTCAGCCAGTTATTTACCACCAAAGCAATGGCCCATCAAGTTCCATTCAGGATTTTCTTTCTTTCTTTTTTTTTAAAAAAGAGTCTATTACTCATGTCTCTGACAAGCTTCAAGAAGAGAGACTAGATATCAGCAATAGCTTTATGAAACTGAGGCACCTCTTCTTTGAAAAGTTGTGTAAAGGTAGGGTGGGAATCGTAGCACCCTATAGATGTCATTGAATATTCCTGCTTCTTGGCAGGGGGTTGGACTGGATGGCCCATGAGGTCTCTTCCAACTCTTTGATTCTATGATTCTATGAATGTCAAATATCAGCAGCTCAAGCCAGCACAGCCAAAAGGGGAGGAAGGCCAAGCAGTGAAGTCAAGGAACATCTGCAGGACCACAGGAGTCCCAGCACTGCTGAAGCTTACCACCACTGATGTTGCAGGACAAGCATGGCTCATTTTTCAACTTCAACTGGGACAGAATCTGATACTTCCAGATGAATTAGACTACACTTCTGGTTATCTCCAGCCAGCTTGGCTGGTACTAGATCAGAGTCTCTCAACCTGGGAGTCGGGACTCCTGTGGGGGGGGGGGGGGGGGGTGTTGTGAGGGTGTTTCTGAGAGGCCCCCAAAGACCATCAGAAAACTCATTTCTGATGGTCTTAGGAACACCTTTGGCAGAGAAGGCTGAAGATCTCTCCACCTGTCCTTATCCTTTTTTGGAAACAGACAGCAAATCCTCCCACCAAAAGCCCTCCTCTGCTGTGATTGGCTTGTCTCTCAACCGGTCTCTCAGCCAAGGGGAGGGCTGTTTCTGAGACTCCAGGTCAGGAGGGGAGAGCAGACATGCTAGGCGCATGGCAACGTGGTATGCGTGCGCGGCCGAGGGACAGTGTGTGAGGTTGGAGGGAGGCTCGTGCCAATGAGTCCCTTCAAGACATGAGGATTCTGTGTGGGAAGTTGGCTCAATTCTATTGCTGGGGTTCAAAATGTTCTTTGATGTAGGCACACTATAAATTCCAGTAACTACAACTGCCAAATGTCAAGGTCTATTTTCCCCAAACTTCAACAGTGTTCACATTTGACATATTGAGTATTTGTGCCCAGTTTGGTCCAGATCCATCATTGTTTGAGTCCACACTCCGGACACAGGTGAACTACAACTCCAAAACTCAAGGCCAGTGTGCACTAAACCCTTCTAGTATTTTCTTCTGGTGATTGGAGTTCTGTGTGCCAAGTTTGGTTCAATTCCATCATTGGTGGAGTTCAGATTTTAGGTGAACTATAAATCCTAGCAACTACAACTCCCAAATGACAACATCAATCCCCCCAATCCCACCAGTATTCAAATTTGGGTATATCAGATTTGTGTGCCAAATTTGGTCCAGTGAATGAAAATACATCCTGCATATCAGATATTTATATCACGATTCATAACAGTAGCAAAATTACAGTTATGAAGTAGCAACAAAAATAATTTTATTGTTGGGGGTCACCACAGCATGAGGAACTGTATTATGTGGTCACAATATTAGGAAGATTGAGAACCACTGTACTACAGGATGATGGCTATCATCATCTGACTCATCTGGAATGCATTGGGTTGGGAATGTCTACAGCAGTGACAGAAGCTGAGTCACGAGACTTTCTTAACATGGATGCCTTAAAACCTTTCAGCAACATTCTTTGCAGAATCAAAAGAATAACAAATGTCTAGATTTGTCCTCCTCGCTTTCCTTTTATTACTAATCTATTGTAGGCTTCAGTGAGCAAAGACCTTAATCCGATAAGTAATTTTTCACAATAAAGGCAGAATGTTCATAATATGACGACTACATCTTGTAATCGCCTCCCATGTGGGTCTCATGCTGGAGCAAATTGCATCAGGTTTTCCAGAACTTCCAGAGCTGTGTTGCATCAACAAGCACATAACACATCAGTGCTGCCCTCTACCCTAGAGATGCACATTTTGTGACTCTCTCAGCCTTGTGTTTGCTCACAAAATATTATTATTGGTCCCTTCAACAATATTGCTTTTGACTGCAGGAAAGTCACCAAAGTTGATTCCAGTACCTCCTTTTTTTACTGTGGCAGACTCCGATTTGAAGGGATACCTTGCCACATGTTCTGCTGACTTTTATCACCTCAGAGGGTTTTTTCCTGGCAAGATTTATTTGGATGGGGTTTGCAATGGTGAATGTGACTTGTCCATGGTCTCCCAGTGGCTTTGTATGCCCTGGGTGAATTTGAATTGTAATCCAGTGCTTAACCCACTATGCTACATTTTCGGGTGAACAAATTGAGAATTTCACTATGTCCCATGTTATGCCTCTAGTTTCCTCATATGGATAGTTCCAGCCCACGAGGACCCATTGTGGTAGGAAATAGGGCAGGGCACTCAAATCCACCCAACACTCCACCATGATTGCCTATTGTTGCTTTACTACATGGAGAAGTTAGCCTCCTTGCCCTTGTTCCAACAGAGCTCTTTGAGTTGCTTTCTCCTCCTGACCAACTTACTGGTTGATGGTGCCTGTGGTGAGGGCACTGATGATCCAACGCAGGTCCAGCGTCTTGAAAGGGATGAGGACCATGCTGACATTGTCCCCCAGCTCTCTGTAACTCTCTGGGTAGACAAAGTGGTGAGTCGTTTTGGAACCAACATCCGACTCGAAACCGACCGTTGGGGCTTTGTTCATTCTTCCATCAGAAAAAGGTGGGGAGAAGAGAAAGGAAGACAATTTATTTATTTATTTATCTATTTATTTCAAACGTTTTCCCTCCGTCCTTCTCAACCCCATGAGGGGGAACTCAGAGCGGCTTACAACTGGCAGCCATTAGATGCCAACAACAAACTGTCACAATACAAAGAAAATTAACATTAAATAGACAATTAATTATAAATATACATTAAAATATCAGAACTTTAAAATATTAAAACATAGCCAAGCCCAATCTCAAATCCAAGTTGGAGTCCAAAGTTCCAGTCCTAGGTCTATCCATGAGTCATTGCAATTACTGTTCAGTCAGCTGCCCGAATGCTTGGTCCCAAAGCCATTCTTTTACCTTTTTTCTAAAGGAAAAGAGAGAGGGTGTTGTCCTGATGTTACTGGGGAGTGTGTTCCATAGATGGGGGGCCACCACAAAGAAGGCCCAGTCTCTCATCCCCACCAACCATGCTTGCAAGGGTGGCGGGATCGAGAGCAGGGCCTCCCCTGACAATCATAAACTCTGAGGTGGATCATGGAGGGAGATACGTTCGGACAAGTAAACTGGACCAGAACCATATAGGGCTTTATAGGTCAAGACCAGCACTCTGAATTGCACTCGAAAATGGACTGGCAGCCAGTGGAGCTGACATAGCAAGGAGGTGGTACACTCCCTATATGTTGCTCCGATGAGTAATCTGGCTGCCGATCATTGGACTAGTTGGAGTTTCCGAACAGTTTTTAAAGGCAACCCCATATAGAGTGCATTGCAATAATCTATTTGGGATGTAACTAGACATGGACCACCATGGCCAGATCAGACTTCCCAAGGTACGGGTGCAGCTGGCAAGGTTTAGTTGTGCAAAGTCTCCCCTAGCCACTGCCGAAACCTGGGTTTCCAGGCTCAACGATGAATCCAGAATCATCCCAAGCTGCGTATGCAGTCTTTCAGGGGAGTGTAACCATCCAACACAGGGTGTAACCTTGCCCTTTCGGCCTTTCAACTGACCAGGAGGGCCTCTGTCTTGTCTGGATTCAATTTCAATTTGTTAGGCTTCATCCAGTTTGACACAGCTCTCAAGCACTGGTTCAAGGTCCTTAGTGACAGGTGGGAAGGAGTGACAGATTTGGATGTCATCTGCATATAGGTGACACCGTACTCCGAAACTCTGGATGATTTCTCCCAGTGGCTTCACATAGATATTAAACAGCATGGGGGACAGAACTGAACCTTGTCGGACCCCACACGACAAAGGTTGTGGGGTGGAACAGAGGTCTCCCAATAACACCTTCTGAGGCCATCCCTCCAGGAAGGACCGAAGCCATTGCAGAACAGTGCTTCCAAGTCCCATGCCCGTGAGGCATCCCAGAAGGATAGATACCATGGTCAACAGTATCAAAGGCCGCTGAGAGGTCCTGCAGAACCAACAGGGACACACTCCCTCTGTCTAGTTCTTGGCATAGATCATTTACAAAGGCGACCAGGGCTGTTTCCATTCCATGTCCCAGTCTAAATCCAGACTGTGCCGGATCTAGATAATCAGTGTCTTCCAAGAATCCCTGGAGTTGTGAAGCCACCACACGTTGAATTGAATGGGTCTAGTGATGGTTTTTCAACAGCAGTTTTATAACAGCTTATTTTAGGGTGGCTAGAATCTTTCCTTCCTGTAGGGAGGCATTAACCATCACCTTTACAAAGCAAAGAGAACCATTCAATGCTAAGAGTTGTTAAGTGATCGGTATTCCTTCCCCATGCAATGCATAGATCATTTGCGTTAAAAACCCAAGGTGAGTTATGACTTGCTAGTCAGAAAGCCACATTCCCTCAAAATAGTTGGACCTTGTTCAACGCAAATACAACAGCGGTTCCCCAGAAGCAGAGTTTATTTGGAGAAAGATTCCCTTTGGCCCTCAAGTCAAGAGTTTAGAATTGCTTAGCCAGGACTTGCTGTTTAACTAAGCTGTTTTCCAGATTACCTTGAACACTACAGTAAAGAACGTGCTCAAAGTTGTTTGAATTAGATTAAAAGGTCTCTCTATTTTTGCTTCCAAAGGACCAGCAGAACATGCTCTGTACATGGCTGGGCATGTGCAGAAAAGAGAGGGTCAAAAAGGCAGAAAGAAAGTAGTCTTGTGCCAGATTTCCCAGGCTGACTTGTTAATGTTTACATAAACTGTTTATTAAAAGGCAGTATTTTAAAAAAGTAAATAAACTAGAAAAAGACATTTATTTTATTTGAATATTATGTCTGCCCACAAGTTTTTCCACTTTGGGAAGTTTAATCAAAACCAAATTTAAAACATGCAAAACCTGGAAATATTGATCTCTCGTCTATCTATAGCTGCGTTCTGATGGCCATCTTTTGTTGTTAATACTGAAAGCATTTCCTCTCTCTTTCATCATTGTAGATAGTGTGTAAGATTTAGAACAGATAAAAGGAAGTACTTTCTCCTGTAGAGCAACAAAGAGTTGGAAGGAACTATGTAATCCAACCCACTGCTCATGTAGGGAAGGAGAGAAAAGGCTCTCTCATCAGTTGGCCGTTCTGACTCTGTTCAACAATCTGCAATGGAGAAGATACCATTTTCTCAGGAATTCTATTCCACTGCTAAGTAGTATTTACTATCAGTCAAAATCTCCAGAATCTGTGGAATTCTCTGCAGCAGGATACTGTGATAGCTGCCACCTGAGGCTGCATCTACACCAGTCTAAATACTTCAAAGTAACCTGCCTTGGAACTGCCCTGCATACAGCATGGGGTGCCTACACCTACCAGTGTGGAAGCACGTACTCAGTTGTTTCTATATGTCCAGACTTACAGGGGCATAGTCTCTCCTTGAAGGGGGTTTTCCGATACCTCCCCTCCAATATCTCATCTTGCCAGGGTAAAAGCCCAAGGTAAAAGCTCTTCAGTGTTTGGGCACCTCCAGGTATATTAGGTATGCCACGGGGTCAGTGAGGTTTCCATTAGCTTCCCTGCCAATAAAGGCTGGGGAACAGGCTAGGTCCGATTGGTGTGGAAGCAACCCAAGCCCTTTTGGAGTCCAGGTGACTGCCCAGACAACAGTGCATTGTCCTCCTGGGGGCTGCTGTTGCCACCTCACTGGCCAGAAGCTGCTCCAAGCAGCTCTCCAGCTGAATCTTGCTGGTGGCATTGATTTTGGTTTGATCACAGCAGGATGTCTGTCCATGGGATCACCAGATGCAATGTCAACAGCAAGGCTCTGCCAGGGGGCTGCTTGGACCTGCTTCTAGGAAGCAAAATAACTGTGGACAATAGGATTGCTCCAGATTCAGACTGATCAGAGTAACATGCTGTTCTACTTGTGCCAAATTAACAGTTGGATGTAGTAATTACGATGTGGAGCAGGGCATATATTGTGTGGACTGCTCACAGTGGATTTGATATTAGTCTGTTTCATTGAGTACATGAGAGCCTGTTTTAAAAGAGGATTAGATAAACCCATGGAATTTAGGGTCATCTGTTAGTTCCAAAACTACTATATATAAGCACCAGTATCAAGACAGAGTGGCTCTGAATATTGTTTGCTGGGCAAAGAGAAATGGAGGCTACAGATGCATCCACAGAAAATATATTGGCCACCCTAGGAAGTGAGTGCTGAAGTTCATTGGACTTCAGTATGCATCAGTGTAGCTCTTCTCATGTTCTTAACAGGGTTTCTGCACCTACTTTATGTTTGTTTTTTGGGTTTTTTTGGTGATAGAAATAATTTAGAAGATGTAGCGAGAAACATTATAGTTCAGTGTTTTTGTCTGATGCATAATGACTACATTCTGTTGAAGGATGCAAAAGTATGGAGCATTCGAGGCCATATTGCATAGATAATGCATGCCCATAGCACATGGATGCATCTTGTGCATAGATGTGCTTGTATATTTGGTGTGCATCTAGGTGCACATTTCAAGTCTTAGTTCATTTGCAAAGAATTGCCATTCAACAAAGAGTTATACAGCAGAATTAATGTGCAATTCTGCATGTGGAGATTTATGCAATGCAGCTCTAATGTAATGTAGGCTTTCAGCCAGGAAGGTTACAAATGGAGTAGGATGCTGTCTGGAACAGAGTCCATTCCCCTATTCAGCTGCAAATGTTGACTAATTCAAAAGACAGGAAAGGCTGTGTGTAAGCCAACCTTTAATTTGCAGTAAATTGTTAAGGCGGAGCCATGGTCGGGTTGAATTACCGTTGCTGCCTGTATAACTTTCAAGTCATATATTTCTGCTGTCAGCTGAATAACACTTCATGGCTACTCACCTAAACACAAAGTCATGGTTGTCGATTTCTTGGCCATATTGAGACTGCTTAAGGTTACCCGAATTCCCCACTACGGCACATCTCCTGCACTGTGAACTGCTTCTTTCCAAAAGCTGATCCCCATTGCCAGGAATAATCTCAAACATCTCCTGGATGGTCTCATTGACCCCTTTAGGGCTCCTTTCTCCTTGTAGTTTCTGTTGGGAAGAGAACAAGGGACAGTAAAATGTTAGCAATATCAAAAGGATGCATCCTGAACATCAACAGTACGTTAGATCTCTACAAAGACCTGTGAATAAGATTAGTTGCAGCTTGAGCAATATCTTTTTCAGAGTTTGGATGTAATGTTTATGACTGTATTAATGGCAGAGGGAAATATTATTACTTCATGATGCTTTAACAACCAGAACATCCAAATTACAACACATTTGTATTGTCGAAGGCTTTCATGGCCAGAGTCACTGGGTTGTTGTAGGTTTTTCGGGCTCTATGGCCATGTTCTAGAAGTATTCTCTCCTGATGTTTCGCCTGCATCTACGGCAGGCATCCACACAACCTCTGAGCAGGTGAAACATCAGGAGAGAATACTTCTAAAACATGGCGATACAGTCCGAAAAACCTACAACAACTTACAACACAATTCTTTGTTATTTTAGGAAATGTTAATTTGGGGTAATTGCTAGGGTGCTTGAAACTATGTTGGCTATTTTGGTTCATATTTCTGTTAAACAAATGAGAGTAACATGTTAGTGATGCTCCAGGATACTCAGCAATCGCCAGTAGCAAGCAACATTTCAGACACAATGACAAACAAGTATCTCAATGACTTTCAGGTAGTCAATGATAACCTCTAGCTCTTTTCTACCTTATAGAAATGAATTGTTGCCCATTTGCTTCCATGGAGATGCATTTGGAGACACTCATCCATTGAATCCATTGGCTTTTCCTACATGTTGATTCATCATTCAACAATGGATTCAATGGGCCTACTCTAGTGGGGATTAAACAGCTGTATTCTAGTCTTTGGATGAAACCAAGAGTTGCACTCCTTCCCTTGACTAAGGATGGCTTTTAACAGAAACCTCCTGCAGCCTATATATATGCATTTCTCAAGTAAACAATATCATGGTTGGTAATATCAAGATGTCTCCAAACCATGCTATACATCGATGGTTCTCAACCTTTATTTGTCCAGATGTTTTGGTCTCTAGTCCTGTAAAGGTCCACCAGTATGACCAATGCTTAGGCATTCTGGGAACTGAAGTCTCAAGCATCCAAAGGACCCAAGGTTGTATTGTCAAAGGCTTTCATGGCTGGAATCACTAGGTTCTTGTGGGTTTTTTCGGGCTATAGAGCCGTGTTCTAGAGGCATTTCTTCTTACGTTTTGCCTGCATCTATGGCAAGCATCCTCAGACGTAGTGAGGTCCAAGGTTGATTATCACTGGTGTGCATCCTGGGTTGGGAATACCTTGATGTTGGCAACCATGATATCATGCAGTCTGTAAAGCCATTTTGTAGGTCCTCCCTGGACCATTCAGCTATCCTGTATCTTATTGTATTTTTTGTCTGGAAGTGAGAATTTCCACTCATGGAAGCCTTGAGGAACATGGCTCTTTAAAAAGAAATCACAGAGAGCTCCTGCCCCTTGTTTTGCTTGCACATCCCTCAAATAGTTTCATGAAACTTTTGACCATTTCTGGTTTCATCCATAGTCCAGATTTTGGTTTGGAGACCTGAGGTAACCAGAAAGCTGTTCCTCAAAGAAGATTGCCAGAACCAAAATTCGAGACCTAAGGATGACCTCTTGTGATGTCACAGGGTGTGCTTTCTAGGACCAGCCCTGGCGATGTCATAAAGTATGATGCATGTACATAGTACACCATTCAAATAGAAAATGTCATGTTTCACAAATGTGGAAAATACATATACAAACATATACAGATTTCAAGCCTGTGCTCTCACCCTGAGACTCTTCTACCCTAATCCTGAGGACCGGTAAAAATGGCTTGAGGCCCTGAGACTTGGTGATATTGCTCAAGGAATCTATTTGTACTTTCCATGGCTACTCAAAGCAACTCAAAAAAAAAAAAAGCAGGCTTGCTATGGAGATGAGAATTTGCAGTTTCTCTGCCTCTGTGGTGTTTTGTTTTGTTTGCAAACAAATGTGAACATCTATTAACAAGCAAAAGAATTGTTGGTGTTTTCTTTTTTCCTGGCAGATGTTCTTTCTGCAAACCCAATTATAATCAGAGACCAGAAATGAGTCAGCCAGGAAAGCCAGAGGCAGTAAAAGTCCGGTCACTGTGTTTAATGGTATTGATTCTTCGGGGTGGGGGCGGGAGTGCGGGGTTGGCAGGCTTTCTGCTATCAGCAAAGCTTTAATAGGTCCTTTGGACATCTGGAAAGCCATGAGTCTGAAAAACCTCTCAAGGACAGCTTACTACAGGAATCAGATGCCAGGGGGAATAAAACATCTCTAGGAATGGTCATTTGGACTTTTATGTTTCTCTCTAAGGATCTGAAAATCACTCAGTTTCATTCTTGTTCAATTTCTTAGGTTTCCTGCCAGGATTCTGGTTCTATCCCATTTTTGGACTGATTTGTAACAGTTTTTTTAGTTCTGCACAGAAATCAGTAAGTATAGAGGTTGAGTATCCCTTATCAGAAATTCTGGAATCTGAAAAACTCCAAAATCCCAAAATTTCCCACATGATTGGCTGAGTTAGTGAAATCTTTGTTTTATGATGGTTAAATGTACAAACATTTAAAATATTGCGCATAAAATAACTTTCAAGCTAAATATGAAATGTATTTATTTCACACTAGTTGTCCCCTGCCATGCATTGCTGTGGCCCAGTCTGTGTATATGTGTTTTGTGTGTGTATATATGTGTGTGTATATATATGTGTGTGTGTGTGTGTATGTATGTTTGCATGTATATATGTAGTTTTGTGCATGCGTTGTAAGGTATTTTTTTATTTTTTGGCTCTTTAAGTCTCTTCTGCTGTGTTTTTATGAGTGATGATCACTTGTTGGCCTGATAGGTGTATTGTGTTCAAATTTGGTGTCAATTTGTCCAGTGATTTCTGAGTTATGTTAATCCCACAAATGAACATTACATTGGCATATAAAAACAAGGACATCTAATCACCTCTCAACAAAAGTTTGCTCCAGGCACTGTCAGGCCATTATATGCTAATCAAGGTGGTCAGTTGAAACATTCACACCTAGCTCCAGCAGTCAAGAGTCCTTTGTCCCACCCTGGTCATTCCACAGATATATAAACCCTTTTTCCTAGTTCCAACAGACCTCACTACCTCTGAGGATGTTTGCCATAGATGCAGGTGAAACGTCAGGAGAGAATGCCTCTAGACCATGGCCATATAGCCCGAAAAAACCTACAACAACCCAGTGATTCTGGCCATGAAAGCCTTCAACAATACATTGAACATTACATTTTTATTTATATAGATATAAGGTACAGCAGAGTCTCGCTTATCCAATGTTCTGTATTATCCAATGCAGTTTGCCTCCCACCCGGATCCACTGCTGTTTCAATACATTGCAATGTTTTGGTACTAAATTCATAAATACAGTAATTACTACATAACATTACCATGTATTGAACTGCTTTTTCTGTCAATTTGTTGTAAATCATGATATTTTGGTGCTTAATTTGTAAAATCATAACGCAATTTGACATTTAATAGGCTTTTCCTTAATCCCTCCTTATTATCCAACATTTTCACTTATCTAGCATTCTGCTGGACGTTTATGTAGGATAAGTGAGACTCTAGTGTATATATAAAATAGAAATGAATTCCATGTTTAGATTTAGGTCCCATCTCCCAAGATATGTCATTATGTAAATATATGCAAATACAGGTATTCCAAAATCTGGAAAACAAATCCAAAATACATCTCAAACACATAGAACCATAAAGCTAGAAGAGACCCCAAGGACCATCCAGTGCAATTTCATTCTGCTGTGCATGAAGACACAATCAAAGTCCTCCTGACAGATGGCTATCCAGCCTCTGATTTAAAACCTCAAGAGAAAGAGACTGCACTGCATTTCGAGGGAGTATATTCCATTGCCAAAAAGCTCTTACCATCAGGATGTTTTCCAAATATTTAAGTGGAATCTCTTCCTGTAGTTTTCCTAATGTTTAGTGGAATCTCTTTTCCATTGCTCTATGTTCTAGATGGATCCCAGGAATTTTGGATAATGTGTGTATTACCCCCCCCCCACCCTCCAATATTTTATTTTATTGATTCATTCATTTATTTTCATATTACTGTTGGTATAATTATATTGTTTTTCTTCATTTATTAAAAATATTTTAATTACTTCCCTGACTACCTGAAATGATGACCAACAAGAGACATTATAGTATTGCTTTAAAACAATGTTTAAAAGATAGTCTTAAAGTCAGTCTTAAGAATGAATGGATAGTTTTGACTATCCACCGAAAACTCAGCAGGGGCCTTTTTATCATACACATTTTGCTATATATAGGTAAAGGTAAAGTTTTTCCCCTGACATTAAGTCTAGTTGTGTCCGACTCTGAAGGTTGGTGCTCATCTCAGTTTGTAAGCCGAAGAGCCAGCGTTATCCAAGGTCATGTGGCCAGCATGACTGCATGGAGCACCGTTACCTTCCCGCCGGAGAAGAACCTACTGATCTACTCACATTTGCATGTTTTCGAATTGCTAGGTTGGCAGAAGCTGGGGCTAACGGCAGGAGCTCACCCAGCTACCCAGATTCAAACCACCGAACTTTCAGTCAGAAAGTTCAGCAGCTTAGTGGTTAAACCTGCTGTGTGACTGGGGGCTCCTTTTGCTCTCTCTCTCTCTCTCTCTCTGTATGTATATAGCATTTTTCTCATGAAATACAACTTCTTTATGAAATATTTTATCCTGCCTTTTATCTTGAGCTCTCCAAGCAGCAGACAGATGAACTATATAAGCTACTTAAAACAATGCCTCAAAATCTAATAATTTAAACATAATAAAAACATATCAAGCTTTGAAAGGCTGAAAATGCTTGAAAACCCATGTTCGTGCTCAAAAGTAAACTAGGATTCAGTAAAAAAAAAAGTTGTATCTTGAACTGATGAAGAAAAGGAGGGCATTCCACAAGTGGGTCAGAAAGTCAAGGGCTGGAATTCATGAGTACTGTTACAAATGTGTCCTGTTATAAATGGAGTTATAAATACATATAACTGATTCATATTCACAGTCCCTACATATTTGCAATATTCATGATCGTAGAAATGTGTAGGGATTGTAAAAGTGCGCATTCATGCTTACTGGGTAGCAGCTGCTGTGAGCAATAAAGCTCTGAAATCTGGTGTTTCCATCACTTTCTCTACAATGAGGAGGTATCACAACAGGGATCTTCCTGTTTCTGACCTGCACCAGAAATCATTGATGGAAAGGAGGTGAAAACATCTATCCACTGCATTTCAACTGATAGGAGACTAGACCTCTGTAACACATAGAGGCTGATGCCCAGTACTTAGCAGGGAGGGGGAGGCATGTTAAAGTTCTGACATTTTGACCCAGAGAACTTCCCGAAAACTGGGAAGCCTTGGCCCTTGAGAGCTCTAACTGGGGGTCAGCTGGGACCAGCAGTGCTGCAGAATTTGAAGAGGCATGAATGGAGGGTGAAATGAGAAATGTGCCAAGAGGAAGGTGCATCAAGCCACCCTGACCAGGAACTGCCTTCCACCTGGAAACCAATGTCCTCAATGCAGGAGAACATGCAGATCAAGAACAGAGCTCCTAACCACCTACAAACCTACCACCAAGATACCAGACTTGGAGGACCATCGCCCTCGGGCTATGAAGGGATCGCCTAAGTAAGTAAAGCATGTTGAAGTTCTGTGATTTTGACCCAGAAACCTCAAGTGTTGACCTTGAATGTTATCTGCACACACACTTCTACTCTTGCTCTTATATAAGTGAATTGTTGTCTATTTGGTTCCAGGGAGTTCCATTTGGAGAGACTCTTAAGCCTAAATAATTGTGTTACTCCTGACTAGAAAAGATCCATTGATCCTTACTCCCACAAAGTCATGCTGCCTTTCTTACTCACCTGCCACCACTTATAGCTCTCTTCAGGCACAAAGGCATTGTGGGTGGTCAAGAAAGGTTGCATAGTTTGGTTAAACCTCCCATCAAACCAAAGCGAGACCCCTTGTTCGGACACGCATGTGCTGCAGCTGCATGGCCTCCTTGAGTATTTCATCAGTTTTCTAAACTGCTCCGAAAACTGGTAGACAATTTGCTTAGGGTCCCAAGTGACCGCGACTGCACTGTTCGTGTAGTTGAGTAAGAATGACGTGATGGTGATGACAAAAAGTAAGGCTAGTGTGAACATTTTGAGGCTCCGCTTCTTCATGGCCAACATTTTGACCTATGGCTGAGGTTAAGAGAATGTGGAAAGTCTGTAGGATGCTTTCCTCAGCTGTGCCTAGGCCACAAGGAGCTGTTCAATCACCTTTGATGTTAGAAGAAACAGACCTGATTGTCGTATCCTCGAATCACTGCAAAGAAACCAACATGGATTGCCTCTTTCGTCTCTTCCTTTACAAAAAAAATCTTCCGACTTCAGATCTCTTCAGTCTCCTTGAATAGCTACTAATTTTCTCCTCCAAAGGTTTAATCAAAGCAAACAACTGTAATTTTCTCTTTACCACCCATCCAGATAGAGAGGATATTATTAACAGTCTGAAATACACATTTTCCTTCTTCCGTGTGGGAAGGAGAAGCTCAAATCAAAAAGACTTAGGTAGGGAAATATCCCTTCTCTTCAAAACTATTTCATTAGTAGCCGCTGATTAGTTTGTGTGGAGGGTGGAGTTCATGGCAGTCGAAACCTTATTGCCAGGATCTGCTGAAATGCCTTTCTTTTCCATCTGAAAAGAAAAAGAAAAGAGAAAAATTCACTAAGGAGTTTTTAAGGATCTTTCCATTTAATAATAGCTTGTGGGTTTCATTCTCTACCTCCTGTAGTTTGTGAAATCAAGGAGAAGGAAATGTTTTCGTTGCACCCACCATGGAGTGCTTGTGTCCTGGATTTTTTTTTTTTACAAAAACATTAGCAAAACAACAATACTTTCTACGAACTAAACTGCTGAATGCAATCAGTCCTCTGCATTTGTGGGCTTGACTTGATTTAATTATTCACAGATTTGATTAAAATGTTCTCCATACGAATCCCTAGGTCCTCCAGTATGACTCTATGGAATTTGGAAGTTGATTGTGCTCAAAAAATTAAAGACTTCTAGATAAGTGTTTTTTTCCCCCAGATTTTATTTTGTGGCTTTTCACTTTCATGGGAGTCGTGTGCCCCTAAGCCCAGCAAATGTGGAGGGCTGACTGTATTTTGTAACATTGTCATTTTTCAGAGGACACTTTGAAATATTCTGTTGAATCTACTCAATGCATCAAGTAGCACCTAATAGCTGATATTTGTGGACAGAGCCTATGCACCTTCACATGTTGCAGGACTCTAAGGGCCCTTCCACACAGCCCTATATCCCAGAATATCAAAGAAGAACATCCCACAATATCTGCTTTCAACTGGGAGCCCTTCCACACAGCCCTATATCCCAGAGTATCAAGGCAGATAATTTGGGATTTCCTGCCTGGGATATAGGGCTGTGTGGAAGGGCCCTGGGCTATCTGAGTCCACACTCAGATAATGTGGGATATCCTGCCTTGATATTTGGGAATATAGGGCTGTGTTGAAGGGCCCTGGATTATCTGAGTCCACACTCAGATAAAGTGGGATTTCCTGCCTTGATATTCTGGGATATAGGCCTGTGTGGAAGGGCCCTGAGTTATCTGAGTCCACACTCAGATAATGTGGGATATCCTGCCTTGATATTTTGGGATATAGGCCTGTGTGGAAGGGGCCCAACTGAGAGAGCCCCAGTCAATGTAGGCAGATATGATGAGAGTTGAGGTTCCACAACATCTGAAAGGCCATTGGTTCTCATGTCTTCTTCCCAAGTACTGTGTGAGAGGAAGGAACAGGCAGAGAAGCATCTTTGAGTATACAGTGCCAAAGAAAACCCAATTAGGTTGCTATAAGTTGGCAGGCAACTTGAAGGCACATACACACAACTGTTCTGAGACGTGTGCAAAATCCAGGTTGCCAGAGTGAATACCAACTTCCTGTACTTTCAAGAGTTGTACAAGAGTGGGAGTTTGGGCAGGTGTTGCTTGCGTCTTGCTTTCGTGACAAGCAGCACCTGCAGAAATTATTTCTTCTACATAATTATGAAAGGTATAGGAGATGTCTCTGGCAACCTACCTAGCATCATCTCATATCTTGTTTCCAAAGAAACAAGATATCACCAACAAACATTTATCTCAAGCAGCATAGTAGTTATGTGATTTAACCAAAAGCATAACCATGGGTAGAATAATAGTGTGACCATTTTGTTGTTGGTGTAAACTGGTGTAGTTGATTCTGATTTTATGGGAAACGCTTTAACTGAAGTTTCTAAGTCACCCTATCCTCAAGAGCTTTGTGRAGGTCTTGCAGTCTCAGGCTGGATCTACACTGCCATATAWTRCAGTTCAATGCAGTTAATCTGCATTCTGAAACTGGATTATATGGCAGTTTGGATCCAGACTCYGTGCCATAACTTCTTTGATTGATRCTATCCATCTGGACAAGCATTACTGTATTGTATTGTATTATTTATTTATTTATTTATTTTAAACATTTATATTCRYCCCTTCTCACTCTGCAMGGGACGCAGGGRYGAGCACAACATATATARGGCAAACATTCAGTGTCAGAACATAAAACCATAAATATATACAAACATTAAAATCACTTATATTCACATTAAAAGTTGCTTAAAAGCCATCTCAGGACACGATTTTGSCTCATTGCACAGCCCCAAAGGTTMGGTCTCACAGCCYGGTCTTCACCATCCTTCTGAAGGACAGGAGGGYGGTGGGTGGCTGGCTGATCTAATATTGCCAGGAAGGGAGTTCCATAACCYTGGGGTAATCACTGAGAAGYCCTTSTCTCTCATCCCCYCCAAACYCGCCTGTGATGGTGGRGGGACCGAGAGCAGGGCCTCCCCAGAAGATCTTAMTTTCCYCAGTGGTTRGCAAAGGGAGATGTGTTCAGACAGGCAAACTGGGCKGGGGCKCTTTAGGGCTTCATAGMCCAAAGCCAGCACTTTGATATGTGCCTGGTAGCAAACAGGCAGCCAGTGGAGCTGACGTAACATGGGAGTTGTTTGCTCCCTATATGCCGTCCCAGTTATTAACTTGGCTGCCTCTTGTACTCTTGTGATCACTCTGAAGCTTTTTTTTTTTGTCGTGTCAGGAGTGACCTGAGAAATTGCAAGTTGCTTCTGGTGTGAGAGAATTGGCCATCTGCAAGGACGTTGCCCAGGGGACGCCCGGATGATTTGATGTTTTATCATCCTTGTGGGAGGCTTCTCTCATGTCCCCACATGAGGAGCTGGAGCTGATAGAGGGAGCTCATCCGCCTCTCCCCGGATTCGAACCTGCAACCTCTCCGTCTTCAGTCCTGCCGGCACTGGGGTTTAACCCACTGCGCCACCGGGGGCTCCTCTTGTGATATGACCAAAGTACTCTTGTGATATGAGCAAAGTACAACAGTCTCAGTTTAGTATCCCCTCCCCTGCCCCCCAGCTGCAGGGGAAAAGGAAAAGACCTGAGGCTATTAGGAATTGTGAGAGTTGAAGTCCAAAACACCTGGAGAGCCAAAGTTTACCTATCCTGTGTTAGTTGAATCATTTGGGGAAGTTTACTCTAAAAGAAGTTTTCTTTTTGATGTCTAACCTGTGAGCCTCCTCCCAAGAGATGTCCTTGAATACAGGTTTTAAAAATACTTTCGAGTGAATAAATGCAAACATTTTGCATGCTTTGCATTGAGAAGGCCCAAAGATCAGTTCCTGGCTAGAGAAAGGGGAAGAACTTTACTTGCTCTTTTAAGTGAATTAACTCAATTCACGCTTCCTTGACTAATATGTTGGTTGGAACACAATTAACCTTTGGATCATTCACTTCTACAAATTGTGTGGTATAGTTCTTGGCTCCAAAACTGCAAACAGAAAAAAAGCAGTACCAGGAAAAACTCAATGCAAAAATCTAGGGACCTCATCACATTAGAGAATGAACCCACTTTAAATCCGGTTTCTTGCTCCTGCAGAATTCTAGGGTTTGTAGTTTAGGGAGGAGCCTTTAACAGCCTCACCAAACTACGAACCCCAGAATTCTGCAGGAGGCAGAAACCGGATTTAAAGTGGATTCATTCTCTAGTGTTATAAGTAGTAGGTATGAACATAAGGTAAAGGTTTCCCCCTGACATTAAGTCCAGTTGTGTTGAACTCTGGGGGTTGGTGCTCATCTCCATTTCTAAGCAGAAGAGCCAGCATTGTCCATAGACACCTCTAAGGTCATGTGGTCAGCATGACTAGCGCTGTTACCTTCCCGCCAAAGCGCTGTTACCTTCCCGCCAAAGCGGTACCTATTGATCTACTCACATTTGCATGTTTTCGAACTGCTAGGTTGGCAGAAGCTGGGGCTAACAGTGGGAGCTCACGCCGCTCCCCGGATTCAAACCTGTGACCTTTCGGTCAACAAGCGGTTTAACCCACTGCGCCACTGGGGGCTCCTGGATATGAACATAAATGACTTTAAAATATACATATATAAAACCCAACAAAAACAAAGCACAGAAACACAAGGAATTGTGAATAAATACTACAAAGATGATACAGATAAGAAACAATTTATTTCTTTATTACTGCCTTTTGTTTCTTCTGGGGACTTCAAGTAACAGCAGACGGGGAAAGCTCCTGCCTGATTCTCAATGCATGCATCTACACTATTACTATTTGACACGACTTTAACTGCCATGGCTCAATGCTATAGAATCCTGGGATTTGTGGTTTGATGGGGCCCTTGCACTCTTTGGCAGAGAAGGCTAAAGACCTTGTAAAACTACAACGCACAAACACTCAGGTGTTTTGGCTTACAACTCCCAGAAATCCCAGCCAGTTTACCAGCTGTTAGGATTTCTGGGAGTTGATGGCCAAAACATCTGGGGAGCCACAGGTTGAGAACCACTGCTCTAGAGTGAGGGAAGTCACAGTCCTACTCTGTTCTGCTTTGGTTAGACTTCACATGGAATAACTCTGTGTCCTGTTCAGGGCACCTCAATTCAAGAAGGATGTTAACAAGCTGGAATATGTCTAAAGGAGGGTGACCAGAATGGTTAAGCCAAGCTCTATGAGGAGCAGGTTAAGGAAAATTGGATATATTTAGCTTAGAAAAGAGAAAATTGAGAGATGACATGTTAGCCCTATTAGTTATTTGTTTTCCCCTACTGTAGAGACTAGGCTTGTTTGATTTTAAAAAAAAATGGTTCAAAACTCATTTCGGATGTAGGGGGCACTGGTGGTTCGATTCTAAAGTCAATTACAATTTTCACAGAAAAAAAATGTTCAAAACTTTTCAAAACTTCAGAGACTTCCAAATGCTTTATTTATTTATTTATTTATTTATTTATTTATTTACTTCATTTGTATACCGCCATTCTCAGCCCTAAGGCGACTCATAGCGGTTTACAACAATCAATGGTTTGAAAGTGTTATTTCCAATGGTTTGAAAGTGTTATTTCCTGTTTCATTGGGTGGTCTTTACTTTGAAAGTAGTTGTTTTACTCCGGGGGGGGGGGGGGGTAGCAAAGGGAGGAAATTCATTCTTCTCTGGTTTAAAATGGCTTCTCTGGCTTGAGACAGAAGCTGGGGGGAAAGGAAAGAGAGGAAATTCATCCACTCTGGTTTAAAATGGCTTCCCTGGCTTGAGACAGAAGCGGGAGAAAGGAAAGGGAGGAAATTCATCCACTCTGGTTTAA